CAAGAATTCAGCTGCAACTGAATCATCCTCAGCAGCAGCAATAGAACTGCATAGCACCCGTCCTCAACGACGAAAGTTTCAGAACTTGCTTTTTGTTTGGTTAGATGCAAATATTGATCTATCAAAAAAAGAATCTCAAAATACAATAGGAAAACTACGATGTATTATTCATGATGTCAACATTTTCACTGATGCTGACAAATGTATTGATTCTCTTAGAGACATTAACAATAAAAAGGTATTTGTGATTGTTTCGCATGCTTTTAGCCAACAGATAGTGACTCTTATTCACTCATAGTCCCAAGTGGACTCTATTTACATATCATGTAATGAGAATTTCATACAGGATTCATGGATCAAAGAATGGTTCAAAATTAAAGGTGTCTACAATGAAACAAAGTCTCTTTAAAAAGCCCTTCACGAAGCCGTAGAAAAATATAATGAAAACGTTAATTCAATTAATTTGCTTGCAGTTAGTGATGATACACAAATTCAAAATTTAAATGAATTAGAACCTTCGTTCATGTACACACAAATCTTTCAAGAGATTATACTAGCACTGACTTTTTCTCAAGACGCCCTCGACAAATTCGTCGACTTCTGCCGCAAAGAGAACTGTGGCTCATCAAAGAACATTAAGCTTATTGAGGACGAATATTATTCTCATAGCGCCATATGGTGGCATACTTTTCCATCATTTATTTATTCTATGCTTAACGATGCACTTCGTACTCTCGAAGGTAGCACTATCATTCTAATGGGTTTCTTTATTAAGAATCTTCACTGTGAAATCAAGCAACTTTATCAACAAAGATCGATTGAATATCGTGAAGAACCATTCACAATCTATCGGGGGCAGAGTTTATCGACACAAAGGTTTGAAAAACTTCGGAATACGAAGGGTGGACTTCTATCTTTTAACTATTCTTATCAACAAGTAAAAACGAAGAAATAGCTCGTCAGTATGCAGAAATAGGAACGCTGAGTATGAATTCAGTCGGCATCTCGTTCAAAATCACCATTGACCCATCTATATCATCAGTGTCGTTCGCTTCCGTCGATCAGATGAGTCAATTCAACCAGGAAGAAGAAGTGATTCTTTCTATGCACAGCGTATTTCGCATTCATGACACCAAACAAAATTATAACACAGATCGGCTTTACTAAGTAGATTTGGAATTGACTTCTGATGATGATAAACAATTACGGAAGGTTACAGAACGTATACGAGAGGAAACAAAGGAAGAAATAGGATGGAGACGATTGGGACAATTATTAATTAAAATTGGCCAACTCAACAAAGCTGAAAAACTGTTTAAATTTTTACTCGAACAAACAAACCAAGAGAATGATCAGGCAGCTACTTATAATAGTCTTGGATATGTCAAGAGCGATCAAGGTAAATATAAAGAAGCCTCAGATTTTTACGATAGAGCACTTAATATTCTCCAAAAGCAAATTCCTACGAATTACCCATTGTTGGCTATCGTCTATAATAACATCGGTGTACTGCATCAACACCAAGAATATTACTCAAAATCCATTTCATTTTACGAAGAAACATGTCGAATTCTTCATAAGATTCATTCTTCAAATGACACTTTATTGGCCAGCACATATAACAACATCGGAACATTGCATGAACGCATGGGAGAGTGTACAAAAGCAATTGAGATTCATGAACAAGCACACGATATCTATAAAACATTTCTTCCTGAGTATCATCCTTCTTTGGTAAATTTTTTACAATAATATGGCTTCAGTATACGATAGATTAGGCGAGCATTCAAAAGCACTTTCGTCTTATCAAAAAGCACTTGAAATCAAACAAAAGTCTCTTCCTGAAAATCATCCTTCATTAGCAACTTCCTACAACAACATCGCTAAAATGTATTACAACATAGGACAACACAATGAAGCACTTTCATTTTTTCAAACAGCACTTGAAATCTATAAAAAAATTCCTACTGAGTATCATCCTTCTGTAATAACCTGCTACAACAATATCGGTGAAGTGTATCGAAGTATGGGAGACTATTCACAAGCACTTTCATTTCATAAAAAAACACTTGAAAAACGAGAAAAATATCTTCCATCCAACCATCCTGATTTGGCTCAGTAATACAATAATATTGGTTTAGTGCATCACAACATGGGACAATACTCTGAAGCACTTAATTTTCATCAGAAAGCACTCAAAATTCGGGTAAAGACTCTTGCTCCAAATCATCCTGATTTGGCTAATTCTTATAACAATATCGGCGGAGTATTGGACGACCGAGGAGAGTATTCAAATGCACTTGAGTTTTACAACAAGGCGCTCGAAATCCACAGAAAAATTCATCCATCAAATCCTTGTTCTATCGCTGATTCTTACAACAACATCGGTGACGCTTACCGAGGCCTGGAGAAATACTATCAAGCACTTGAGTTTCATCAGAAAGCACTCGAAATCCGAGAAAAAAATCTTCGAGAAAGTCATTCCGATTTAGCTCAATCCTACAACAACATTGGTTTGGTGTATCACAAGATGAAACGAAACTCTGAAGCACTTACTTTTCATCAGAGAGCACTCATTATTCAAGAAAAGACTCTTACTTCAAATCATCCTGACTTGGCTAATTCTTGTAATAACATGGCTTCAGTTTTGGATGATCTGCGAGAGTACTCCGAAGCACTTTCGCTTTATAACAAGACACTCGAAATCTACAGAAAAACGCTTCCGCCAAACCATTCTTCTTTCGCTACATCTTGGAACAATATTGGTTCAGTTTATTATAACATGAGAAAATACTCAGACGCACTCTCGTCGTTTGAATGTGCTCTATGCATATGGCTACGTTCATTACCTGCTAACCATCTTCATATTAAAACTGCATGCAACAACATAGAACTTGTTAAAAAACTATTATAAATGACAAAATCATGTTATAAATGTTAGCAATGAATTTGATAAAACATTATGGTGTTTTGCCAGTTGGTTTTTGTGAATTTGAATGTTATTCTTTTTAGTTTAGCACTTGTTAAACAGAAGATTAAAATTTAAAGTAGACGGAAAATTTTTCTCAGAAGAATTAAAAATTTTAATCTCATGCAAGACAACTTGATATAATATTTCTTCTCTTTATACAAAAACCTGAACTGAATTAATTTTTCGAATGGCAAATTTAAAATTTTTTGATTTTTGAATAAGGAAATTATATAATTATTCAAATTTCAGTTTCTTGCCGTATAACTATATCCATCAAATAACTATCTAATAGGAATAAACTAGAGTTGATTAGGGTCCTTTAAGTTATCTAATAAAATTAGGAGCGCATATAATTAATCTTCTACTCGTTCTCTGCTGTATCAGTCGAAGAAGTCATTTTTGTAAGTTATTCTCATAAACCTTATTATAAATTTATAATATATTTAGTAGAAAAAATTCTAAAACGCTTGCTGAGCACTAGTTAGAGAGTGTCTGGGTGTATCTAATGACCATCTTTAAAAAAATTCAAAATCATACCTACACCCACATCCACATTGAATGACAAAAAGATTCATTCATGACAATCATTTATTGAATCTTCTATAATTGACATTCTATTCACAAACAGACTAACAACCGTGAGACGCATGTCAACGATTTCTCATTTAGAATAATATTGAATGAATCAGAACAAATTTATTTTAGAATTAACGAGGAAAAGTCCAGATTGAGACTGATGTGAAGAATATATTTTTTTATCGCTTCCAATTTTCATAATTAAAGAAAAGAAAACAAACAGAGACACCAATCAGAGATGTCCATCGCGGCTGGAAATTTGCCGCTGCCGCACCGCGATGAGTTTAGAAACTTCAGATCTTACCGCTACCGCGACGCATTGCGACGATAAAAAAAGAAAACTTGCCGCTGCCGCAACGCACGGCGACGGTAAAAAGGAAAACTTGCCGCTGCCGCGCCGTGTCGCGATGCTAAAGGAACAAAATCTACCGCTTCCGCGCCGCTACCGCGACGTTACTACGTCGAATATCAGTATGTGACGAAATGGATAAGAATCATGAGTTTGTTAGAGCTTCAATTGAAGAACAAACAATACAGCGAATGACCGAGAACACCTGAACACTTGAAATATTAAACTAAATAACGGGTGACGCAAAAGTTCTGAATTAATTTTCTTGTCAGTATAGCGTGGCAACGAATCGTTATGGAGACTTGATCTTTTCTCGTTGGAAAGAGCTAAGTGTCTAATACAAAACTGTGTAAAAAAAATTTGATTCAAAATGTTTACCAAAAACTAAAAAGTCTTAAGAACACGTTGGACTGGAAAAGTGTCTTTCAACTTCTGGAATTCAAAAGAAGAAATTCCATCTGCAAAGAAAGTTGATCTTTTTTTCCGGCTTTTATCGAGTTTTGTAGCGCTACGATCAGGCATTGTAAACGCAGAAAAATAAGATTTTCAAGTGACCGGTTGAGTTCGAGTTCAACATTTTTCTAACATCTTTTGTTAGTACAAATTTTTCGCAGCTAATAAATGACTTCGAAAAAAAATAAGATTTCTTCCAACATCAAAGTTAGCAGAAACCGCCTATTTTATATACAATTAAAGCTTATTGAGTCTTCTATAAAAGTACATTATATAAAACAGAATTCAGCTTTTCTGTTAGACATCGTGTGAAAACTTTAATTGGATGTT